CGCAACCCTCGGTGTTGCTCCCGCGCCTCGCTCAGCCAGTGAGCGGGAACCGGTCTGTGTGGGATCCGAACCCTCGGGCGGGAGCACCGTCGCGCTTCCCAAGCGGTGCACTGTCCAGTGCGCCACCAGGCCGGCCCCTGCAGCCTTGTTTTGAAATAGAACTGATCCCTGGAGAAGACTCATGGGTCTTCCATAATCTTCGTTGATTTGAGGATGAGGCTCAAGTTCACAGTTTTCAAGGTGTTCACTGATCCAAGGACTCCCCTTAAAGACCTCCAGGGGAAGTGGAGATGGCAGTGCAGTGGTAGTCTTTGTTTTGCTCTTGTGTTTTATGGAGAGCAGAGCTCAGGAAGGAAGCCATACTCCTCAAGCACCGTGAAGGGTTCGTTCTCAACTGACATGTCTGTGGTCTTGTTTACTTGTTCATTTTAGTTCAGAAGCAGATCTACAAATCATAGCTAAAAACCTTAAAAAGAATGTTTTATTATGAAAATTAAGTTGTGTAGAAAAGGGTTATCTATGCAATAAAACAGTACATAATTTCACCAAACTGATATTATCTTGTATATTCTTATACTTATAACTCTTTCTAGCTATTTTATGATATTTGAGGCCATATTTTTTGGAACAAATAATATTTTAATGTATTGTTAAACAAAATTTCTGAAAAATTAAATAGGAATTGTAGTCATGATTTGATCTGCATAAAGAGGCTTATTCTTAATAGTCTGACAAATCAAATATGAAAAATAAAAGGAATACAGTCATGTGTCATTTAACAACAGGGACACATTCCAAGAAATGCATTGTTAGGTGATTTTGTTGTTGTGTGAACATCACATAGGGTACTTACACAAACCTAGATGGTACAGCCTACTACGCACCTAGGTATATGGTATAGCCTATCGCTCCTAGTCTACAAACCTGTACAGCATGTTACTGTACCTAATACTGTAGGTAACTGCAACACAGTGGTATTCGTATATCTAAATATAGAAAAGGTACAGTAAAAATATGGTACAAAAGATGAAAATGGTACACCTGTACAGGGCACTCACCAGGAATGGAGCTTGCAGGACTGGAAGTTGCTCTGGGTAAGTCAGTGATTGCTTGGTGAGTGAATGTGAAGGTCTAGGTCATTACTGTGCACAACTGTAGACTTTATACATGCTGCACACTAAATTTATTTTTAAAAATTGCACTAGACTGTTATGATGGCTATAATGTCACTAGATAGGAATTTTTCAGCTCCATTGTAATCTTATGCAACCACCATCACATATGTGGTCCACTGCAGACTGAAATGTTAAGTGGCACATGACTGTATTCCAATATGTCACCCCCTATCTGCTAAAAATTCAGGAATGCAACATTAAGACCTGCTGGGGTTATTTGGAAATTCATTCTGCACCTCAAACACTGCACCCTGCTTTCAAATACATAATGTTCACTAGGCTGTCATGGCATCTGTATTTTGGCACTAAAATGACGAACTGGGCTGTGCTTCAAGTTTCAGCTTTGAGGTTCAAGTTACTGTTTTTTAAAGAGCAAGAAAGAAAGAATGGGAGAAATAAATTTTTTAACTGTCACCTTCTAATTAGGCATTTGGCATTTGCTAGCTTCTAACCTGAGATTTTGTCCAAAGAAGTCTGCTTTAA